TTGCAGGGGAGAGGGAACGGATCTTTGGGGCATGCTTTGTTGAGATCGGTGTAGTCGACGCACATTCTCCACGCCGGCAGCTTGGGAACCAACACCACGTTAGCCAGCCAACCGGGGTACTTGACCTCTCGGATGTGCCCCGCAGATAATAATGCGTCCACTTCCTTCTTTACGAAGTTCCTGAGGTCATTCGATAAGTGTCTCCTTTTCTGAGCCACGGGCTTGAGGCTGGGGTCAACCGCCAACCTGTGGGTTATGATTGACCGGTCGACCCTCGGCATGTCCTCGGGCCCTAATGCAAATAGTTCCTTGTACTCCTTCTGGACCGCCGTGATCACTTGCTTTACGAGGGTGGACAGGTCGGTCCCGATCCGGACTACCTTGTCATGATGTCCGTCCTCCAGGCTGACTTCCTCCAGTTCTGTAACAACCCAAAATTTCATTTTATAAATCCGGTATTAAGAAATTCCAAAATAGTCATTTTCACTCCATTAATTTTTTTGTGATTAATTGGTGTTTGAATAAATTATTTTCATCACATTTTAAATTAATTCGACACCAAAATTTATTCTATTTCAAAAATTCCTAAAATTCAGGTACTTCGCGTACCAAGATTTTAATCGAGAAATTATTCTGAGTGAGACCGGGAGTATCCAAAAAGATTTTAAACAAGGATTCATCTAAATATCTTTTTGAGAAAATTCATTTTCAACCCCAAAGTATTTAAAATAGCATTTCTAGTCTATGGTTCATGTTGCAAGGTGGACCACAAAGAACTTTATCCTATTTGATCTTTGCTAAAACCACTCCAAAATACCATTTTGCCCTCACCCAATCATTGGCCTTCTGTCTAGGGTTTTGGACCCTATATAAACTCCATTATTCCATCTTGATTCCCTGATCTCTTTCTTTGCCTCTCCACACAATATTGTCTGCCAAGAGAAAGGGAGAAAACAACATCACAGTAAGCTCTTTTCCTTCTTCAATCCAAGCCTTCATTTCTCTTCTAGTTTCTTCTAATCTTTGAGGTTCTAGGCTAAGGTTGTATGGTGTTTGGGAAGTATAGGTGGTGAAGGAGGCACAAGCTAGATAGAGAGGAAGAAGATATCCAAGCTAGAAGAAAGTCTACAAGAGGTATAACCCCATGGATTTCTCGTTAAAATTTGGCTCTGTGAAGCCTTAGCTTTGAGTAGAAATGAGTAAAAACAATGAGATTTTGTGGTGTTTATGCTTAGAAGTGATTTAGTATTTGTTTGTGAGTTGTTGAGATTGTTTTGGACTTGTTTGGATTGGATTTTACAGATGAAAAACCTTCTGGTGCACAACACTGTGTGCACCAGATCAGAGTCACGGCCTAGCCGCAGCCCATCAGGAGGGCCGCCGGCTAGATCCGTGCTTGCATGGGACTAGGGCACGGCCCTAGACGAGGGCCGCCGCCTAGTCCCGGTGAAGTGACGGGATACAAGGGGTGGACCACGAGGAGTCTCGCCCCAGGTCGCTGACTTTGATTCTGAGAAGAATCTGTGTAGTGGCCGGGCCCTTGTAGCTCAGCTACGTGTCGTTTTGGGCTGAGTGTTACGGGCCCTTGTGGCTCGGCTCTTCGGTCCCGTCTTGACGCACGTTTTGGCTTTGAGTTCGTTAAATTTGGATCTAAAATGAGTATGTTATGAAGGTTTTAGTGATGATTTGTTACACAGAGTATATATTTGCTAATTCACTGTGTATGAAGAATTATTTGACTAAGTGATCTATGATGTTTTTTTTTTATTGAGTAAAGAAGCATGATCAATTGAGAATATGATTTATTATGAAAGCATGACTAGATTGTGATATTTGATCAATGTGAAATGAAGCTCATGTTGTTGATAGAATGAATAAAATTTGCTATGTTGCAACCGAGCATGATGTTATATTCTTAAGTATTTCATGTTATTTCATACATGGTTTAGAAGCATGTTATAGAGCATTTTGGCATTTCACATATGTCATATTTCAAAAATGCATAAGGGACAAACGTGAGCCCAAGTATTATTTTTGAAAACCATGAGCATGTGTATAGTGTTCTTTGATGCATTAGAGAAGTAGTAAAGTTGTTGCATGCATAAGATTGATGCATGAGAGATATATTTATGTATTATCTATATTGGTGAGGTTTTGGAGGATACCGTTTGGACTCTGTCCTCTCAGGAGATATTTATGGACATTGCAGTCCCAGTACATGTAACGCAGCGTATTCCCACGTTACGAGGTTGGAAACTGCCCGTCAAGCTTGGAATCCTGGTCAGGGGGTGTGCACACTGAAAGTTCGATACCTGATCCACAGCGCATGAACCACGAGATTGGTTCTGTAGACGGTAGAAGATATTGCGTCGGACTTACGCCGTTGCCGATGGGGCAATTCATGCTACGGTGAAACCCTGAGCCTTCTACGAGCAAAAAGAGAAATAAAAAGAGTCAAGAGAGACTCAAGAGAAAGAAAGCGAGTCAAGAGAGACTCAAGAGAAAGAAAGTGAGTCAAGAGAGACTCAATAGACCTCCACAGAAAGTACACTATTTTTTACAACGAGTGTACATGCGTATACATATGTATATTGTCGCACGAGATTGCATATGAGTATGAGTATATTATTGCACGAGATTGCATATGAGTATTATCTATATTGGTGAGGTTTTGGAGGATACCGTTTGGACTATGTCCTCTAGGGAGATATTTATGGACATTGCGGTCCCAGTACATGTAACGCGGCGTATTCCCCCGTTACGAGTTTGGAAACTGCCCGCCAGGCTTGGAATCCTGGTCAGGGGGTGTGCACACTGAAAGTTCGATACCTAATTCCACAGCGCGTGAACCACGAGATTGGTTCCGTAGATGGTAGAAGATATTGGGTCGGACTTACGCCGTTCCCGATGGGGCAATTCATGCTACGGTGAAACCCTGATCCGTCTACGAGCGAAAAGAGAAAGAAAAAGAGTCAAGAGAGACTCAAGAGAAAGAAAGCGAGTCAAAAGAGACTCAAGAGAAAGAAAGCGAGTCAAGAGAGACTCAAGAGAAAGAAAGTGAGTCAAGAGAGACTCAATAGACCTCCACAGAAAGTACTATATTTTTTACAACGAGTGTACATTAATATACATATGTATATTGTCGCACGAGATTGCATATGAGTATGAGTATATTATTGCACGAGATTGCATATGAGTACGAGTATATTGTTGCATGAGATTGCATATAAGTATGAGTATACTGTTGAACGAGATTGCATATGAGTATGAGTATATTGTTGCATGAGATTGCATATGAGTATGAGTATATTATTGCACGAGATTGCATATGAGTATGAGTATATTGCTGTATGAGATTGCATATAAGTATGAGTATATTGTTGCACGAGATTGCATATGAGTATATTATTGCACAAGATTGCATTCGAGTAAAGTATCGCATGAGAGTACATAATGTGAATGTTGGTTTATAATCGTTTGTTGTATTAAGTCTTGTTTATCGAATTATGAGATGAGATTATGAAAGCATGAGTATACCCGTTATATGGTTTATTAGCATGATCATATCTGTAAGTGTGAATTGTTTGATATGTTATTTGAGGAAATATAATGTTGTTGAATCTAAGTGTATAGTCTTATGTATATATGAGCATGCTAGCTGATATTATAAGGTGCAAGCATCTAGAAAGTATGTGATAGATCTAAAAATGTATATGAGATGAGTTTTTTGTATACATGTGAAATCAAATGTTTTCAAAGTATACTCTATAGTACTTTACAGGGTTGAGTGTGGTTATACTTAGCTTCGTGCTAATGGGTGTTTTCCTATTTGTCTATGTGTTGCTTGCAAAACCCCTTTCAGGTGGACCCAGCAGTGTGAAGAAATCGAGTTAGATTAGTCTCGTAGATAGAGATATTTAAACTCTAGTTCTTTTTGATGATTATGTTTCGATGACTAGACATATTAGTTTTATGGATTTGAGGATGTTGTAGACTATTGGGGTGAAGTTATTTCCCCCTTATGTTTTCGGTTTTTATGATGGATACCAGACTTTTACTTTATTTCTAGTTTTACCCTTATCCTGTGCAATCACCACGGAGTGGTGGTTGTGGCGGTGACACTCCCACTATTTATTTATTAATTATTTCCGCTGCATAGTTTATGTTAATGTCTGTTTAGAATTATAATTAGGAGTTAGAAAAGTGGGGTGTTACAAATTGGTATCAATGCGGCACGAACCGCGGGAGACTTAGGAAGCTTGACCCTTAAGATTGAGTATAGAAACTCTAAGTAAAGGTCCTAGGAAGGTCAAGTTAAGGAAAGACCTCTAAGTCGAAGTCTTAAGAAAGACTAGATAAAAAGAGAACATTAAGTGGAAATCCTAAGAAGGATAAGATTAGGGAAAGAGCCCTAAGTTATAATGATTGGGATAAGAAAGACTCTAAGTCCAGTGACTATGTATGAGAATCAGAGTTAAGAGAAACTCTTAGTAACAATTAGGGACGCGGTGAGGTCGTGAGTTCCTTTGTGTTTGCTTATATGTTTTGTGCTTTATCATTGTGTTTAAAGTGCTTTTATATATCTTTTGAAAGTGAAGCAGAGAGGTTTTCAGTGAAAAGTTAAAGTGAAAGTTAAAAGTTGAGATATTTGAAAGTTAAAAGTTTGAAAGTGAAAGCCTTGTAAAGAGTATAAGAGTTTATACTTGTGCCTTGCTTATGTGATTTATCAATGTGCTTGTTATGTCTTGTTATCTGTTTCGAGTAAAGTAGAGAAGTTAAGTGACAAGTTGAAAGAGAAAAACCAAGAGTTTGGAAGATTAAAGTTTAGAAGAGAAGTTGTTCTTGATAAGTTGTTAAAATAGATGAGAAGATATGCCTTGTTGCCTTGCGTGATTTGCTTGTTGCAAGTTTGTCTTAAGAATAGAGGAGTTAGAATCAGCTAACTTATTAGTCGTGCTAACAAGAATGATCTGTTCTGGTCATGTACTAAGGGTTTCGCAATGCCGCCGCGAAGAGTCAGAGAGGAATCTCCTCGCTCCTCAGGACCTGGAGCGTCGTCATCTACGGATTTGACTGAGAGTCTGCGCCAGCTCACATAGTTGACCCAGACCATAGGAGCTGCCGTACTCAATGGGAATAACGGTGGCGGTGATGTGTCCAAAAAGACCACGGGGCGCAATCCACCATGTTTCTTGGGTCAGGAGGATCCAGAAGTTCTTGAGAGTTGGATCCGCGCGTTCGAAAAGTTGTTTAACGTGGTAGGATGCCCAGAGGATCAGCGAGTAGAGGCTGCAGTATACTATCTACAGGGAGAGGCTGACCATTGGTGGGTCATGGAGGGACCCGTTGTCCAGGCAAGGGAAGGTTTTGACTGGGGGATGTTTAAGATGGTGTTGAGAAAGAGATTCTACCCAGAGCATGTCAAGGCTGCCAAGTATGAGGAATTCTTGCATCTCGAGCAAGGAAGCTTGACTATTCAGGAGTATCATGCCCGCTTTGTGGCATTGTCTCGATTTGCTCCTACCTTGGTACCTGATGAGGCGAGTAGGGCTCGCAAGTTCATCCAAGGATTGCACTTAGATGCTCAGAAATCCTTCTCCGCGGCAACATTTGCTACATTGAATGAAGCTTATGAGGCAGCTGCTGGTTACTCCAGGATTCAACAGTTGCACCACGACGCCATGCAAGGGATGAAGAAAAAGAATGAAGGGATGGAAGCACAGTCGAACAAGGGACACATGTTCAATCCGACGAGCAGGCTTGACCATAGAGGTGGGGAAAGGAGGAACATGACTATGAGATAGGGAGTTGGATCTGGAGGACCACCGAGAGAGGGGACTTCGATATGTCTGAGATGTGGCAAGGATCATCCTAAGACCACTTGTGGAGGATCGCCTATAGTTTGCTTCCAATGTGGGAAGCCGGGTCATAGAGTTGCTACTTGTCGTTCCCCGAGGATGGAGGGATCCCATGGTACGATCCCGAGCCAGCCACCCAGAGGTCCGATGAACCAGGCGCCGAATCAAGCTATGGGACATGGCTATCCACCGAGAAGAGGTCCGCACAGAAATGGGAATCACGGATGGGGCGGAGCGCAGCAAGGACGTACCGGAGAAGCTGGACCAGGAAGGATTATGGTCATGGGACAGACTCAGGTCGGAGATCGCAACATCGAGAAAGGTAACACTTTAACTTGGAATGAGTGTGTTGATTTTACTTGAATGCTTAATTAGGTGTGCATGCTTGAGAAGTTGTTACAAGTTGTTACAAGATGTTAAAAGATGTGTCAATCTAGGAATTTTGGGAATTTAGAAATTAAATGAGTTAGTTTTGGGGAAAAGCTTAGACTTGAATGCTATGAATTAACGAACAAGAGAATTAGAAGAATAAAAGTAGATATGAGTACGAATGAGAAATCGTTAGGAAACAATTGAGGTTTAAACAAGAGAAATGTTTACCGAAATAGAAGTGAAAACGAGAAAAGAAGGAAATGACGAGGAAGAAAGTGGATAAGAATTTAATTTAAGCAATTCCCGGGAGGAATTTGAAAGTCAAAGGATAGACAGCAAAATCAGGATTTATTAAAGTCGAGGACTACGATCAATTTTGACCTGATTTGAAGATTTGACAACGTCGGAGGACCGATTTTAATTTGGGGTCCGAACCGGATCCGACCCGGTTACCCGACCCAGTGACGGGTCTAGGCCACGGGCCGGACCGGAGCCCGTTCCATGAGACGGAACGTGGTCACGGACCACGTAACGGTCCGCGGCCTGGGGGCCGTGTCAGCTACTAGGGGTGGAAATGGTCCAGGCCCCTACACAGGGGCCTATGGCATGGCCTATTTAGGGCCTGGCCTGGCTTGGCATGTTTAATAAAAAGGCCAGGCTTAGGCCTATTTAAAAGTCTATTTAGGTAAATAGGCTCAGGCCTATATATAAAAGCCTGGCCTACGAGCCTGCAAGCCTTGCTTGTTTATATATATAATATATATAAAATATATATTTAATATTTAATTATTATATATTGCATTTTATACCTATTATCTTTTAATATTTATAATATAACCCTATATATATATATATATACATATATATATATATATAACTTATCTACTTATCTAAATTTCTAATAACCCTAACCCTAAACCAGCGTCCCCGCGACTCTGCGTGTCTGCGTTTCTTCCCAACATTCGAAATCGCCGACACACATAAACAACACTCCGGCGACTCCAGCAACTCCGGCGAGGCTTCGAGCGGAGAGGCGGTGCGGCAAGGCGAGGCGAGGTAGCGCGGCGAGGCAGCGCGACTGCAAGTTGGAACGTTTAGGCTACTAGCGACAGGCGACCGGCGAGGTTAGTGAAGTTAGTGTTCTTAATATACCATTTTTTTTTGTATTTAATATACTGTTTTAGTGTTTAATATACTGTATAATATATTGCTAGTCGTTTGATAATCTGCTAATCTGCTATATACTGTATAGTTAATCTGCTAATCTGCTAGTGAAGTTAGTGTTTAATATACTGTAGTTTAGTTTAGTTTAGTTAGTGAAGCTAGTGAAGTTAGTGTTTAATAAATTATAATCTTTAGTTTAGTTATACTGCTAGTGCTAATAAATTATAATCGGTTGTTTTAGTTTAGTTTAGTAATAAACTGAGTGTTGTTTTAGTTTAGTAATAAATCTTTAGTTTAGTTTAGTAATTAATCTGTTGTTTTAGTTTAGTTTAGTAATAAACTGAGTGCTGTTTTAGTTTTGGTGCAAGATGGCCTTAACACTATTAAAGATGTCATTCACAATGTTCGTGAAAGTGTGAAATTTTATAAATTTTTCAGATGCAAGGCTAAAGTCATTCCATGAAGTTGTTGAATTAAAAGGATTGAAAGAAAGGAAACTTATTCTTGATTGTCCAACAAGATGGAACTCCACATTCTTGATGTTGTGTACTGCAAGTAAATTTAAGCATGCATTTTTAGATTACAATGAAAAAGAGCCACATTATAAGTATGCACCATTATTTGAGGATTGGGACAAGATTGAGAAGGTTTGTAAACTTTTAGAGGTTTTTAATGATGCCACTCATGTCATCTCAGGTAGTGATTACCCTACATCTAACTTGTATCTAGCTGAAATTCAAAGGGTGAAAAAGGTTATTGATAATGCAGCTGGGTGTTTTGACATGTTCATGAGTGATTGGCAAAACCTATGAAAGCAAAATTTGACAAATATTGGAGGGAGTGTAACTTGTTAATGTCTATTGCATGTGTTTTAGATCCAAGGATGAAATTAAATGGTATTAAGATAACTTTTCCTTATTGTATAAAACACCAAGTGATGTTGAAAAGAATGTGGAGAAGGTGAAAAATGCATTAGAAGATTTATATCTTGATTATGTGAACTTGTATAGTCAAGATGCTTCTTCTACTAGTGGACATAGTGAAGTTAATGTTGAAAGCAACACTATGGTTGTTGGTGGACAACAAATGGATAAAGGGATGCAAGAAATATTGAGTATGGTTTACCAAAGTCAATCAATTCCTCTTACGAAATCAGAGTTGGAGACTTATCTTGAGGAAAATCCTTTTATTCCTTCTTCTACTTCATCCTTTTGTGCCTTGGCGTGATGGAAAAATAATAGTCCAAAGTTTAAAGTTTTGTCAAAGATGGCTTCTGATATACTAGTTGTTCCTGTTTCAAGTGTGGCATCTGAATCCACATTTAGCGCTGGGGGAAGAGTCATTGATGAATATCGTGCTAAGCTTAAATGAGGAATCTATTGAAGCTCTTATTTGTGGTGGGGATTGGCTTCGTAACAAGTATGGGCTGAAGAAAAAACAAAAGGTAAGAATCTACTTATTACTTTAATATTTTATATTATTTTATATTACTACTTGTTACTTTAATATTTATGGTTTATGATTTATGAATTATGAGCACTTGAACTTGTAATGGACTTCATTATTTATTCTCAATTTTTTTTTTATTGTGTAGGAGAATTCTGGACAAGAGGAGATTATGTTGAAGCCATGACTTAATTTTATGTTTGAATATTATTATTGTTATTATGTTTAATGATTCATGTTTGTATTATGTACATATGATTTCTGTTGTTGTTAAACCTGTGAATTTGTGATGGATTTTTGTATTATGGTCTATGGACATTGGACTTGTAGACTTGAAGTTATCAAACTTGTATGATTTTTGTATTATGAACTCCTACTTATTAAACTTGTGTTGTTGGACATTTTATTATAAAATATGAACTTGGTTTTGTAGTTTATGATTATTTGTTGATTGTAGTTTAATAATATTATTATTTTTTACAGGTGTATATTAAAAGTCTTTAAAATGTAGGCTTTAAATAGGCTTTGAGCCTATTTAAATATTCTCAAAGCCTATTTAGAACCTACTTTGATGCCTTTTTAAAACAATCGTTATACCCTACACCACGACACGCGTAGCATTGTGCGCCGCGCGCCTCCCAAAACGACGTCGTTTTGGGGTCGTTTTGGGAGGCGCGGTAGGAAGTTGCTGTGATTATGTGTATTTGTTCACACAATTATGTGTATTTGTTCACACAATTATGTGTATTTGTTCATACAGTTATGTACATTTTTTATACAATTATGTACATTCTTTTTATACAATTATGTACATCCGAATCAGAAAATTTGGGTGTATTATGTTAAGAGTTGATGTGTACATCCAAATGAGATAAACCTAGGCTCTGATACCAAATTGATATGAATCTAGTCCAAGGTTCAAATAAAGTTGGAATATTGTCCCAAGATTGCTCTCAATGTAAAGATAGAGATGGATCAAAATACCTTAAACCTCACGAGAAACCCTTTGTCTCGAATCCTCAAAGACTTGGAAGAATCCCATGTAGCTTCAAGTACCTCGATGTTGCAATCTTCAATCAACTAGACTCGGATCTAGTTTCCTTCGATTCAAGAACGAGTCCACGAACCTAAATCTAAGGTTGAAGAAAGTAAGATTGATTCGAGTCCACAATTAGCCACAATTAGCCACTAATTGAGTCCACAATTAGCCATAAGGTTTCTTACACAAGTGTAAAGAAAAACTTAAGAATTTTATTGAATTAAAGCCTCCTCAAAACTGATATGGATGTGCCCTATTTATAGGTATAGGGCAGCATTGTAATCTAAATACAATGGGAAAAAGAGTCCTAAACCTAATCTAGAAAACAAGTAAATAGAGTTTTATTTAGAAAAGGATTTAAGGAATCCTTTCTAAATACAACTAGTGTTTTCTCTTTAATTCTAAACAATTTAAAATAAATGATGACCACAAATAATAAAGCTGATTTGGGGCTCGGATATTGTGATTGGCCCAATTTGTAATCTTAATGGATCTTCATTATGTTGGGCCGCATCAGGACATATGCTAGTCTTTATGATTGTTCTATGATGTCGAGTCTTTCGTTGTGTCTCGAGTCTTGATATTGATTTAAAGCTAGAGTTTCCTAGACTATATATGTATTCCAGTTTCAAAATGATTTCCTATATTTATATTTATTGTACTTAACGCGTGGGAGTGGGTTACTCAGCATTATTCGCTGAAAGTTGCTACGATATGTTTTTCAGGTGATGATCATTAGCTGAGGAGCACACTAGATGGACTTGTAGTCTTAGTCTAGTTAGCGCTAGATACAGTAGCCAGCCTGCGTGCCGTAGATTGTATTTTGTCTATCGACTTATGGATTACACCTGCCTGGATAGTCTTAGCTTGTGCATCTAGGTTCTCAAACCTAGGTATGGCATAACACCCCAACAATTATGTTTAA